CCATGTATTTGCGTTTTAAGTAAGCTTGGATTTCTTTTGAGACCTAAAATAATAATTTCTTTGAGACCTAAGATAATAAATATTTATCACAAAACTTATAAGGTTTTAATTTTTAGTACTTGAGTACTTAAGTATATAAAAGAAACTGCAACGAAAGCCTTTCTGAAAAACTTTTTGAAAATAAAATATTTGAAAATCAAGAAATACCTTTATAAAATTAATATAAAAATTTGTTCAATAACCCTTATTATTGGCATAGAATTAATATATCTAATTCTTCAATCAATTAAAGTTTACTGCCCCTGGTTTGATTTATCTTTTTTCTATAAATCAATGTTTTACCTTGACATTTTCTATAGTAACAAAATTATCTTGTAAATCTTCAATCTGCATTCTCATATATTTATGTTGCCATTCTTTAAGCAAAATCTTTCTTCGAAAATTAATAGCAGCTTGCATTGTTTTCAATTTTCTTTGACCGGCTTGTTTGATGACATCGTTAATGAAACGGACATCTCTTCTGCTTATTAGAATAGAATCCTGAAAATAATAGTGAGTAATAATCTTGAAGCGGCGGTAGCAATCTAAAATCCACATAGAATCCACATGGACGTCACATCGCTGAAGGCACGCTTGTGGATTTCAGCTTGCTACCGCCGCTCAAATCACACAGTGTTTACTGGGTGTAACTCAGATTATTTAATTTCATGCGTTAATAGAAATGGATAGCAAAATATAATGCCACATATGTTTAAATTTTATTCTATTAATTATATTAACCTTAAAGTCATCCAGATTCCCAGTAAGTTTAACCTCAACCAGGCCAGTCTTCATCACGTGTTGAATCTCCATGTCCTGAAAAGAAGCGATTTTTTCCTCTCGGAGCTCTTTTAGGTTTTGTATCAGCATCTGGTGATTATCTTTGGCTCGAGTCAGCTTGCGTTGATAAACCTGATAAAAAACAATATCTCCTTTTAAATTGATATCCTAAATATATATAAGTAAATCTTTTTGTGAAGAACTTTATGGAGACGTTGAGTGTATGAAAATTTTGATTTATTTGTCATATATGTCCAGAATAGTCCAGCCAGCCCTCCTGGCTGGGTGCGTATTTTACAAAACCCAAAAACATTTCAAAATAACATTCAAGATCAACGTTTATCTTTGTCTTTCATACTCATATTGTTGAAACAAACATACTACTATGCCATTTGCACACCCCTATATACCATATACCATTAATATAGACATCACTAGGATATAGATCAGGATTCCTTCATGCTGGTTGTACCGAAACTCTCTTGCTAAGTAAACCACAAGACGTAATAAAGTCGTAAAGGTTACATTACACGCGTGGCATATACGTAACCTGGAAGGCACACATCTATTTCGCGGACAAAGACGTAACGGCTGTTACGTTGCACTAATAGGCCGCGGTTGCCTTTTTGCCACGTATCTAAGTTGAATAAAAAGCGCGTAGATGTCTCTCATGTTACATATAATGATTTAATCAAATTTTCTGCAAATATAGAGTATATTTAACTAGTGATGTATGGCATCGTACCTTAAGGCAAATTGCTGGAACTTTCCGTACCGTAACGAAATGTTCGAGGAATATTAAATGTTTTCGAATAGATTATTATAAATATTGTAAAATTGTCTAACATTTATAAGAATTATATAAACTGAATTGGAAAGTTTAAAAGTATATTAGAATTTTAGTCAGAATTAAAATTAAAATCTGAATTATTTTCGATATATAAAAAAAATATTTTTTTTGAAAAAAAAAATTAAAACAATAGCTTTTTTTCCAAAAGCGATTAATTTGCTGAAACAAGCAGAAAGTTCTTTGAATCATTCAAATTGGAAGGCTTAGTTCTCTCACAAAATGCCATTTTCGCACATTTAGCTCTGCATCTTCGAAATGGCTAGGCCTGCCTATGCCAAAAACTAATAAACACTTCTCCTAATCATTACTAATTGAATCTTTTTTAGATCATTCAAATCGGATGCACCGCATCATGCCTTAATTACTGAAATTACTGAAAATTACTGAAGCTTCCCGTGTCGTAATTTAAATGTTATAAAAGCTTTAAAATATTTTGAAATATTTGAAAGAAATTAACTTTTTTATTTGAAAATATTTTTTCATATTTTGAAATTTTTTGAAGCGCGTAAGCGCCGCGTTTACGGTTATACATTTTTACGGAACGCGTAGAAATTTAAACAAAATTTGTACTTATTATTAACCCTTTTCACTCGAATGCCGCCGGAAAATTCATATAAATCTCAGAATTTGCGAGTGGAAATGGTTAATCTTTATAAAATATATGATAATTTGATATGCGTGATCATTTTTGTCCGTCAAATGGCTTTTCTTTTACTTTTTTATTAGATCTCCAAAACCGCTAGACCACCTGCCTTCCTAAAAATTTGATCAGTTTTTCATCTGGTTAATACAAATAAAATGTTTTTAGATCGGACGCTCCGTTTTCTGAAAGACGGAATTACCGTTTTGGCACTTTTTGTCCTGTATCTTCGAAACAGCTCGTTCTGCCTTTGCCAAAAACTAATCAGCACGTCTTAATGACTATATTAAAAAGTTAAAAAATAATTATTATTAAACGAAAGTATGAGTAAATGAGATATATTTCTAATCAAATATTTACACAAATTGCAATAGACAAAAATTACACAAGTTAAAATAAACAAACTCTTCGGCAAAAACAGTTTGTTCTCCAGATATTAGAAAAACACTGACATTAAATAATTATCCCGAACAAGTTTTTTTTTTGCCAAATCATTCGATTAGTTAATTTTATAATATCTCGATCGTTCAAGTCTTTCTGTATGAAAATGATTAGAAACCATCTACTTAATTAATAACTAATTAAATGTAAAATACTAATTACTTTGTTTACTTCGTGTTTACTTGCACATCAGTATAAAAAAAAAACTAAATAAAAATGAAAAACTAAATTTTAAATAATTAAAATTTTTCCAGGGCCTCTTGCGAGGCCCCTTGAAGCGCGAGGCCGTCGGCGGCCGCCGATACCGCCGCCGCCTAGCGCCGCTACTGCTCCCTATCAATAGGAATCGCATGTCTTTTGAACCATTCAAATCAGTTGATCCAATCGGTGGTTTCAACTATTGTGGTTTACTACTGGGTGGCAACCAGCAGCGATACAAGACACTCAATCAATATAATATCACATGATACTTATTCATCATAAATTAATTCATATACTTATTATTATACCAAATGAGAACGATCTGCCAAGCCGTTTCTTTGTCGTTTGGAAAAAACTGTTAAACATTTTGTCCACATTTATGCTCATACTACCGAACTGTTCAAAAGATATTAGTTGGGCATGATACTGGTTAGTTTTAGGTGAAAATCTACCGAGCCATTTTCTTGTAAGTAACTGTTAAAAAATAAGAACTAAGCCGATTTTTATAAAACTTTTTTCGGCGATATATATCATGGTCTTATAGAACTTACTGAAATATTACGGCCTTACGTCGACGATTTCGGGAACACCGATCATCCGATTTGAATAAATCAAAAAACAATCGATTCGTATTGACAAAGAGACGCGCTGATTAGTTGAAGGCAGGTCTAGCCGTTCCGAAGATACAGGGCAAAAAGTGCCAAAAATGGTAACTCAATTTTTAAGAGAACCGAGCATCCGATTTTAATAATTCGGAAAACATTTTACTTGTATTGACAAGATGAAAAATTGATCAAATTTTCATGAAGGCAGGTCTAGCGGTTTCGGAGATCTAATGAAAAAAGTAAAAATAATGCCATTTGGCGGTCAAAAATGATCATTAGACATATGCACAATAAATTATCAGATATTTTATAGAGATTTTAACAATAAGTATAAATTTTGTTTACATTCTTATGGGTTCCGCACCAATGTTTATCCGTTAGACGGCAACGCGGCGCTTACGCGCTTTGAAATTTCGTCTCTATGCAGTTAAAGAAGTACGATTGCTTTGAAAATTTCCAAATTTAGAATTTCCAAAATATGTCAAAATAAAGAAAACATTTTTTTTCGAAAAAAGGTAATTTTTTGTCAGATTTATAGTAGCTCAAAAATCTAATTTTTTCGAAGTAAATTTTTTTCAAAAATGTTAATCGTTTTTAAAAAAATGATAATTCTTGGTACGGGAAGTTCCAGCAATATGCCTTAAAGCACGATGCCATCCGCCCCACTAGTTTGAAATTATATAATCTATGATATCATTAGTCGATAACTTCGCAGATGAAATGTTTCCAACGTTGGCCATCCTTACCTCAAGCTTGGTATTTGTTTGAAAACTATAGAAATGTCACTTTGACATTTGAGTTGTTTGGAATTATATTGAATTTGAACAAAAGTGTTATAAATATATATTAAAACATATTTATTATACTTTTAAACCTTCTTATAAATATAAATAATAACTTATAATATAGAATTGAAAGCCTTTTCCACCTTTTATAAGCCATTGTTAGTTTGATTACAAGAACCAAGAGACGCCGAAAATGTCAGAAAAAACGAATTCAGTAACAACAATTAAAACTGAACCAATTGAATACCCTCTAGTGAAACAAGAAATTGATGATTATGTTATATCAGAAATATGTCCGGAAAGCGAAGGAACATATCTACAGCGAAATTGGAATTCTGAGGTAACAATGGAGAAAGAAATAAAACAAGAAACAATTGATGAACAACATGGAGTCATTAACAAAAATGTAAGAAGTGGAGATGATACACTTTATATATTGGTGAAGAAGATAGTAATTCAAGTAATATAGTAGATAATATAGACAGATGTAACAAATCATTCAAAACTAATTTAACATATCATCAAGCAAACCATGAATGTGAAATATGCCACAGAACATTCAAAACTAGACAAATTTTAAAAACACATAAAGCAAGCCATAGTCAAGAACGGCCTTTTAAATGCGAGACATGCAATAAAGCATTCAAACTAAGAAAAACATTAATCAATCATGAAATGATTCATTCCGAAACACGGCCTGATAAATGTGAAATATGCGACAAAACATTTGCTTCAAGACAATCACTAAAACAACATCAAATGCTCCATGCCGGAGAACGTCCTTTCAAATGTGAAATATGTTCAAAAACATTCATTCAAAAACAAACATTGAGGGTTCACAAACTAACTCACACTGCGGAACAACCTTTTGAATGTGATAATTGTGCTGAAACTTTTACTACGAGATATGCATTAAACCTTCACGAAATTGTTCATACCGGAGGCAATCCTCATCAATGTGAAATTTGCAATAAAACCTTTGCAACAAAATTCTCATTAAACCGACATGAATTGATTCATACTGGAGAACGGCCTTATAAATGTGAGTATTGCAGTAAATCATTCAAAACAAAAGCTATATTAAAACAACATGAAATGATCCACACTGGAGAACGCCCTTATATTTGTTTAGTATGCAATAAAGGATTTAGACGATCAGAACATGTAAGAATACATGCAAGGGAGCACCTTCGTGAATATGAAGCATATAATAAAACATTCGTAACTAAGCAATTATCAAACCAACATAAAATGGTTCAAAATGTAGATTGAGATATATGGTTGTACAATTTATGTATATTAAAACAAATAATTACAATGTAAGAAAAAATATTCTTTATCTATTTATTAACTTCCCATAGGGTAAGTTATAGTAATTGCAAAAGAATCTAAAATATTTTTTTTTATATATGTTTATGCATCAAAGGTTTCTGAACATTTCGACATGTCCTAGGGAACTTCCATTAATCATATGAAGTTTTAAGGGCAGGGGGGGGGGTTTATATATTATTTAAGTAAATCTTTGTTTAAAAGTCCTAAAGACAATTGTTTTAGTTGTCTTAAGTTGTGTCTTAAGAAGATTTTTAACTTTATTCGATCAACAACTCTACTGCAAGGCTAAAAATCATAAGAATATTGTGACCTAAGACACAAGTGACAATTATTGGTAAATTTTTCTTGAAGTCTTGGAAAATATACAACATTTCAACATTATTTCTATAAATATTTATGTGACTAACTCCTAAATCTAAATATACCATTACCAAACCAAATCCTAAATAGCATAATTATGTTGTTACTATTAGTTATATGTGATACTTATTATTATAAAGAGTGCCATCAATTATGAATTGTTATTAAAGTAATGTAGATAAATAAATTTGTTTACTTAAAGGAACATTATGATTACTTGAATGGACAAAGTCAATATCTATCCCTTCCAATTTTCATTTCCACATTGCAAAGTTTCACTTTATTTTACAAATTATTTTGTATTTAAATTTACCTGCTGTGTGTTTTCCACTTCAGCAAGTTCCAGCGCCAGAGCTTTTAGTTTAATTTCTATCTCGAGCTTCTGAGATCTCAGCTTGACCATGTTCTTCCAGATATTCTCATCTAAGGCTTTAGGTGCCTAGAATAAAATATATTCCTATTACAAATTGACTTAAATGAAACGTGTTCCAATACTTTCATTATGATTAAAGTATTATATTTTAAATCACTACCCAGTAAACCACAAAACGTAATTAAAACGTTAATATAAAATAACAGATGTTAAGTCAAACATAGTGGTTACGTAACCTAGAAGATACACAGACGTCTCTATTACCGTCTCAAAAACGCAACACTGTTACGTTGCGCGATAACATAACGGTTTCGTTTTTGTTACGTTTCCAAATTGCGCGAACACGTAACGGTTTTGTTCCAATATACGGTTAAGCTATAGCACGATTGGGTTGAACAAAGCTTTTCGTCGTTGTTTTAGCCAAATATCCTGACCTTATTTTGAAAATTTAAGAACTGTTGATAATGTATAATCTTGAAATCGTTTCTTTATAATTGATTGTAAAAATATTTTTGCCAATTTGAATAAAATCGTTTAAAAAATATGTACCAAATTAAATAACCAATTTCTTGCATTATAATGTTTTATAGCAACTCAGCAAACTTACAATTACAATTATGTATTCATTTCTTATTGATCAAGACGACCAGGCCTTAAGGCAAAATGCCATTTACATCTAGTTATCTAGATAAATTTACCTGCGACGAATGGTCCAACTGCAGCATAGCATTCAGAAATTCAGCTGCGTCCTGAGGCAGCAGATTGTATTTCGAATCATCAGAACCGCAGCAGCGTGCCATTTGATGCAGCACAACAGGACTCTGAATCAATTTTTGAGACCAGCGTGGGCGCTTCCTGTAAGCCTGGGAAAAAAAACATAAAATATAATCACAGTTATTATTATTTCTGTACAAAATAATTTTTATTTTGCAGAAAATTCTATTATTGTTTTATGAAAAATTCCCATAACTAGGAATCGTAGCAAAAACTAAACGTAAACGTGTTAGCGCAACAAAAACGAACGTTACATTAGTGACGTCCAAGTTACGTAGACGTCATTTGCAATGTTATACGTGGCATTAACGGTTGTATTATGTCTTGTGGGTTACTGAGAGGCGATTAAAAACTTTTCATATTTTTGATTATTTTTTTGTACTTATGTGAATCTCGAATTTATTTTGAGATTGAAGTTTAAACGCATTTAAAGTACCTTTAGTATGAGATCTTGGATCACAGCACTGCGATCTTCAAAGTTTGCTTTAAAGTTCCTCTCAAGTTGACGATCTCGATTGTTCATAGCCTCATATGCCTGAAAGCAATATTTTAAAGTATAGTAAAACATTTAAAATTATATTTCATATAAAATTATTCACCTTTCGACATTCTTTAACGCGATCCATCAATGCTGTCACTTCCTTTTGTAAAGTTTCAACTTCTTGAGCCTTCGCCTGCACTTCCTTCTCCATTGCAACTTCTTTTCGATTAAACTGGATACGTTGAATGCACGTGCGTCTATTACGAGCAACCTGTAGAAAAAAAATCTGTAGATTACTTAATTACTTTAAATAATTACTAAGACTGTTTTTAATACATACCTTAAATCCTTCTTGCTTAATAGCACTTTCCACTTTCAGCTTCTTTACTAGAAAGTCGGAAAGACGATGATTGAACCTTTCGATGCCAGTTTCAACATAATTTGTGACTTTTTCATATTCGGCCTACAATTAAAATGATAATATGTTGATAATCAATTTCAATAATGGTAGTATTATACCCATTAACCCATTAATATACTTAATAATCTATTTAACCCACAAAAGTTAAAATAACGTAGCACAGAAGTGACTTCGTTACAATGCTGATAGCTACGTTAATGAAACGTACATGTTACGTTTAGTTGTAACGTAGATACTTCGGTTTTACGTTAGTTTTTTCCCTTACGTTTGTTACGTGGCAGATACGTTCCAACGTTTCATATATTTACCATACAAAATGGTCGGTTTTGTACAGCTGTTTAAAAATATAATATGTATATAACACATCTCATTAATATAATTCTTTATATTTTGATAATTTTTAAAATTATCCAAAAAGAACAAGTAAAACATTAGGAATAAAAATAAAGGCGTCAAAAATACAAAATCATCCTACCATTGACAATGATTTTCAGATTGAAAAAGTATTATTGAACTTGCCAATTAATTTTTTTGACAATTCTTGCCATGTATCTTACAAGACAATGCTCATGTATCTTACCTGTAGCATTCGTTTATAACGTTCTCTTTCCGACTGAAGAAAAGCAATTTTATCATTGTATTCCTTGATCAATTTCAGATCTTCCTCAGTGTACTCTTCTGGTCTCTTTTCTGTTAAGCACTTAGGCTCAGGAGGTGTCTGCAGATATAAGAGACTTCATTAAATACTGGACACAAGAATTTTTAAGCAGGTCAGTAAAAATATCTAACATATTGTAAGAAATTTATTCCACTATCAAAATAATAAAACATCAAAACATTGTTTTAAATTTAATTTATCAACTTCCCGAAGGAGAAGTTTATGTTTTCATAAAAAAATCCGAATCGCTAATTTTATGTTTTCTCGAAGTTTCAAGCCATTCTGAATCGAATGAAACCAAATTTGGAAAAAGTATGTGTGTGTGTGTATGTGAACAGATTTTTTGCCGTAAATCGACGTTTTCTCAAAAATTCGATGTATCTCGATGAGGACTTTGCGCGACGATCTGCCGAGCCGTTTCTTTGTAATTGGAAAAAAAGTGTTAAACTTTTTGTCCACATTTAAGCTCATACTACCAAATAGATTTTAAAAAATCAAAAACTGTTCGAAAGATATTGGTTGGGAATGATACTGATTAGTTTTAGGTGAAAATCTACCGAGCCGTTCGATTTCAATTATGTGTAATAAATCCACTCGGGATACTTTTAATTACTAATAAATTAATTTATTTTTTATTGATTAAGTCTATTATTTACACATATCGGGAAGTTCATGTAACTTGCCTCAAGGCAAAACACCAGTACCAACAAGTTAAATTAATATTTATCATCATATTAACACCATTTTATTCTTTATTCTTGTATAATGCTAATATGATGTCGTCATACAGTGTTAAATATAACCACGAGCGGCGTTGCGCGCGATTGACCTCATATTATGCATTAATAATAATTGTTATGAATTTAAAAGATGGTAAATGTCTCATCTTTCACAAAACTTCTCTCTATGCTTACAACTGTCAACTCAAATGTCAAATTACTAATATGTTATCATAGTATGCTACTAATGTATTAATTTTCTTTTTAATTTTTCACATATGTTTATATTCTCACAAATGTTAATTTAGTTAAATTAAATACATCATTAATTAAACTAGATTATTAAAAAGTACGCGATCATTTCCGTCAATACTTCTTGCAAGCAGTGCAATTATCTAAAAATGTCTGAAACAAAAATTGTTTACAATAATAATCAGAAAATTAAAATCGAACCACCAGAATATTCAGTGGAAGATATAAAACTTGAAATTGAGGATAAATTTGATGTTCTTGAAGACATCATTAAGTCTGAGTCCTGTTCTGACAATGACGAAACATGTTGCGAAACTTTCATTAATTCTGAGGTAAAGATTGAAGAAGATATCGAACAAGAGATAATTGAGACATCAGCTTATGAATGTGATGATGAAAAACCTTTTGTATGCTCATTTTGCAATGGAGTATTCACTACAAGAACTTTATTAGATCAGCATGTGTGTGATCAACCTGAATCTGATAATTCAACTCATTCTGAAAATCGTTTTCACAAGTGTGAAATGTGCAATAAGATATACTTAAGCCCGGATGATTTGAAAGTACATATGGGTACTCATACGGGAGAGTGTCCTTATATTTGTAAAATATGCCTTAAGACATTCATGCATTTGGGTAATTTGAAAAAGCACATGGATTCCCATTCTAGTAAACATCCTTATACATGTGAAATATGTAACAAAGAATTCTGGCAATCGGAGAATTTAGAGCAGCATAAGCTTACTCATAAATGTAAAATATGTGATATGAAATTCACCACATCGAGTGCTATGAAAAAGCATAAGAATTTTAATTTAGGAGAACGTCCTTACAAGTGTGAAATATGTAACAAAGCCTTCAATAAACCGATATATTTAAAGAACCATATGTTTTCTCATACTGAAGAAAGCCTTCATAAATGTGAAATATGCAGTAGAAAATTCACATACCCAAGTCAAGTAAAAAGGCATATGTCTGTTCATACAGGAGAACGCCCTTATAAATGTGAAATATGCCATAAGCCATTTTCACGATTAAGTGATATAAAAATTCATATGCGTGTTCATTCTGGAGAATGTCCTTACAAATGTGATGAGTGTGGAAAGGCCTTCAGTCAATCGTGTAATTTAAAAACTCATATAAGAACTCATGCTGGAGAACGTACCAAGCAATGCCAGATATGCTATAAGAAGTTCTCACATACGACTAATATTAAAAAGCATATTCGTACTCATACAAAAGAACGTCCTTACAAATGCGGAATATGTGATAAAGACTTCAAAGTATTGGATAGTTTAAACCGGCATATGCTTACTCATATTTGAGAAATATGAAATATGCAATCAGACATTTGTTCAGTAGATGGTGTGAAAAAGCTAATGGATCTACATAATCACTTTGAGAAGGCATTTGGCTGTCTCTTTCAATCAATTTATCTGTCTATCTGTCTATCTTCCTACTTATCTACCAGTTTACCTGCCCACCTATATACCTGTCCAACTGTCAACCTGTCCATCTGTGTATCAATATTTTTACGTGTATACTATTTCCCCCCACTAAATGATTTATATTAGCCATATAAACTTGTTTGTAATATAAAGAGAATTATAAAACTGCAACAGATCAATGATTTTTTCTTTTTGTGTAATAATTAGGCTTGCACCGAATATTCGATTACAATTTGGTATTCGGCATATTAGGGACCTTTTTTGATATTTGGCTGAATACCTAATAGTCACTTACTATTTGGCCAATTACCGAATAGTTGGAGCCGCCGCCGCTCAGCGAAAATATTGTGTGTTTTATCTTTTTTGCAATGGATCTGTATATTTGGAAGTCTTTAGTTTATATGATATGAAGAAATGAATTCGTTATTATATCTTGTATATATAATACATAATTTAAACTTTTTTGACTTTTGAGATTATAAATGAACACGTAAAGAAATCTTTTCTCAATATTCAAAAGACACGTTATTGTTAAATGTTTATGTTAAGAGTCATTCAATGCATGTATCTATATTCAATGAAGTCTTTCATTATATTTAATCTGAGCATTTCTAAATAAAAAGATATCATAGGTTCTTTATAGTTAGTTATTTTCATACTAAACATTTTATACTAAAAATATTTTTTATGATAAAACTACTTTTGCCGGGTCTATATATATATATATATATATATATATATATATATATATATGCATATGTATGTATATGTATATTTATTTCATGAAACCTTTTTAATTTCATCCTCCCATAGGACTTCTAGAACTCCGTTCATCATTTTCATAAGAGCCCTTAGACGAAAATCATCAGCTAATTGAAGTAATCGAATTCTTTCTTCTTCAGCTGCTTTTTCATCTAAAAGTAACTGCTCACTCGGTGATATATATCTGAATAAATAATAAGATTATTATAAAAGACTATAAAATAATATAAAAATCAAAATTTCACCATTATATCGCCACATTTTGCAAAAGTGCTAAACTTCAGTTATTTCCAAATCCTTATTAGGATTTATTAGGAAAATTATTAGGATTCTTTTTTAGTGCTTTAAGGAAAAAATCACTTATTCCTAATATTTTGATATATGATTTTTATTTTTTAATTATATTTAATGTTGATTAGTTGGTACATTTGCAATTTTGATGCATCTGCTGATTTGAAGAAGTTTTGAAGACCATTAACAAAGAAATTTTACTTCAAATTTCTGCCAAAAATCATATATTCTACGAATATTGTATTTCTACGAAAAGGGATTTAAATTTGAAAACTTCATTATAGAAGCATTTTTATAAGATATGATTATTTGTACATATCAAAAAGTACATGCTACTTGCCTTAAGGTAAATAGCTGCTCAGTAAAATTACCTTTTAGCATCAACTTCATCATCAGCCACTGTTACAATAGTTTCTGGTTTTTCTGCCGGAGACCATTCAGGATCCATCACGTCTACGGTAATCTAAAAATAATTATTTTTAAGTTAGATTTGTAATAAAACATTATTAAAAAATTCCGATAAGAATCCACAGAGAAACTCACGGGAATCTGATGAGATCTCTGAAGAAGGACCCAACAAGTAGCTAAAAACAAATGGGAATCTAATAAGAATTTAGTTGGACTATACAAAGATTTTATCTAATAAAGGTCTCATAGGGTGTATGTAATAAAAATCCATTAATACTTGGGTAATCGATAATAATTAAGATTCCAAAGCGTCCAACTTCCTGGTGAAAATAGTAGGAATATTATAAGAACATTAATGTGGTAAGAATCTTATTGAATTATAAAAATGTTGTAAAGAATCTAACGGAAATATAATAAGACTTTAGTTAGAATCTATAAAGATTTTAATAATCTTATAAAAACCTAATAAAATTTTGGGGATAATCTAATAAAATTCTGATAAGTGTCCAATCGAATCAAAGCGGAATCTTTGTGAGGATCTAGTGGAAATTTGCTAGCATTCTCATAATGATTCGAAAACATAGCTATGTTAATTAAGAGTATGCCCATAAGATAACCTGTAAATTTACTACTCGGTTACTATTCGGTATTCGGCACCTTTTTTGATATTCGGCCGAATACCGAATTGTAACTCACAATTCGGCCAAATACCGAATAGTTAAAATCAAAGGAGCCGCCGCCGCTCAGCGAAAATATTGTGTGTTTTATCTTTTTTGCGATGTGCCTGTATATTTGAAGATCTGAAGATTTGAATTAAAAAATGTGAAATTGATTCACAAATTGTTTTCTACTTACATAGTCCAAAGAGCAGTCCTTGAGCTCTGCCAAAATGTTCTGCTCATTGACAATATACCTCAATCGTTCGTTTTTATCTGCGATAACTTTCATTTCTCTCTCCTTGAGTGCCATCATTTCTGCAAAGTGACGATTGAAATACTCCCTCAACAATGTAGCATCTCGCTGAGAAAACACTTCTTCTGTTTTCATCTGATCGATGGTGGCCACTTCAAACTAAAAAAAAAGATTATAGAAAAAAACTATATGATTATTATATATTTATTTTAGAAACTTGATTAATATTAATAACTAGCTGGCCCGACATACTTCGTCCTGTCAAAAAAATCTACCAAATCGGTTCTGATTGCTCTGTTGATCTTTTAAGGTTCTGTCTAAAGCATCAAAAGAGTTTTTATGTGCCATCGTGCATTCATCCCAAACGATCAATTGATATTGCTGCAAAACCTTAGCCATTGCATTGCATTGCATTGTTCTTCGAAATGTTGCATGTTGGAGTTTCATTGCTTTGCATATTTAATGGCAATTTTAGTGCTGAAAGGGCTGTTCGATCACCTTCGAGTAAAGTTGCTGCGATTCCCGATGATGCGAGTGCAAGTGCAATTTTGTTTTGTGAGCGAATTGTTTCTAGTATTAATAAAATAAAAAAAAATCTTATACCACCAGGCGCATCTAAGAAGTATATCCCCCCAGTTCCATCATTTGTTACTTTCATAAGAATATCGAATACATACCTCTGTTGTTCATTTAACAGTGGAAGATTTGTTTCGATTAATTCTTTCAAATTGTTGAGATCATACAATTTTTCTCGATGCAACTCTTGGTTAAAAACATCATGCATTGGACGATTAGGCGCGGCCAGGCCTAAGTAAGTTAATACTTTGTTTGATATCATCAAGCACATGTCTTCAATTGAAATCAATGCTTTGTTGTAAATTTCTTTACTGATTTGCATATTTGGATTTTTCATTCTATTCCGTATTTGACACAAAATATCATCACACATATGATCTTTGTACTTGATCCACAAATCAATTGGGTTTGATGGAAAGCATGTGGATATGATTATAGAAAACAATGTTTGTATTTGATGAGCGTGTGAAGATATTACAGCATCGGTGAGAGTTTGATCCCAATGAGCGTCATTTTATAGCAATTGTAAACGTTGACGGGCTTCTCTGTAGGATCCACACAATTCACCATCAACAGTTCGTAAATGTTGGAATGATGTTGAGCCACGTACATTGACTAATAGCAGTCATAAAAAAAACATTCACCATGGCTTGGATATACTGAATAAATTCGATCAATCGCATCGGTGGAATATACATCTGTGTATCCTAGTTCTGGTTTTCCTTGTTTCCGTCGTAAAAATCTTGATTCCAAGTATAATATTATGGCATTTCAGAGTATAACAGTGTTTGTACAAAATTATCGTTTTGACATGTCTCAAAAAAACTTGTTATTGTAGTAGATGGTGGCTGAGCAGCTCCTTGACCTGCGTTTCCTGCTGTAAAGTACACCCTTTGTCCATTTACTAAATGCACAGCTAAGTGAATAACAAAAGGGTGTCTCTCATGAATTGGAAAAGAAAATATTAGCCAAATTGCTTCATTACTACTAACATAGCGGCCCATTTGGTATTGAGCAACTTTTATGTTCATTTCGGTCGTTATGTTCTTGTGCAGTACGATTAGATCAGTAATTAGCTTGGTTTGTAGCATTTTGTGTTCTTCTACTTAAATTGCCTCGTCTTATAGGAGGCAATATTAAAATATTGTGTCACATGCAATAACTTTTTATTCATAGGTAGATAACAAAACACTACAAACAAAACAAAAGCACACTCAGTAGAGTATAACAGAAAATGCAAGAAAATGCCGCCCTTGCACTGGCAAGGGCGGCAAATGGACATTGACATTGATTTTTTTAAATCTTATATGACTTGAAGTCAAATTCTTTAACGCCATACCAATTTTATCGCCTGCCGAAAGTAAAACAAAAGAAATAGTGTCGAGAAGCTGACTACGATTATTTGTATTAGTTAGAAAAGGGCTGTTTTAAAGGCTTTCCCGACAATTATTTGAATCTTTCTCGCCGTAAGAACCATCCTTGGACATCAACGAACATTTTAAAAAAAGAATTGGCCAAATTGGTTCAGGCGTTGTTGAGTTATGCGCTTACCAACACATTTTGCGATCCATTTTTATATATAAGATTAGCTATAGAAAATTTAGTTTAATAAAAAATAAAATAAAAATATAAGTAAAAAATTAATAATACGAATTACTAATATTTTTAATAATTCCATCAGTTTTAACTTCAGAGAGTGACTCCGTTTCCATGTGTATATCATCCGATTTTTTTACTTTTCGTCAACGTTTTTTAGAAAATGACTAACCCGATTTCAAAAATGTAAAATCCATTTAATACAAATCGATAAGTACTTACAAAGATTAGTTGTGAACTGCGTGATGCTCAGTTTAGACGTTTTTTTATATTAAGCAAAAAAAGTGATAAATTATTCGTCCATGTTTTAATCAAAAATCCTGAACAGTTTTTGAAAATGTAAAAACCGTTCGAAATATATTACAAATTACTCCCTAGTTAACCACAAAGCGTAATGAAAACGTTAATATAACATAACATATGTTTTTATAACGGCCTAGGCTGTTACATTACAGCCGTTACATTACAGGCTGTTACATTACAGCCGTTTACAGCTGTTACATTGCGAGATAAGGTAACGGTTTCGTTTTTGTTACGTTTCGATAGATATATAGTTGAGAATCGTGCTGATAGTTTTTGGCAAAGATCAGCCTGACTGTCATTTTGTAATTGGATGTTAATAATTTTTGTTTTGCATTTTCAATTAAATTTAGCATTAAAATATTATAGTCCTACAAAAAATGAATGTTTTATAAAGTCTAAAGGAGTTAGAATTATTAGTATATTAGTATAAGAAACAGTACATTAATCACGTGATCAAATTTTAAGAATTTTGGAACTCCTCCCACCTACTTGGTAATACATGGCAGTATTTAAAATTACAGTTGAGTTTTTTTTATAAATAGCCAAACCTCAATTTTTATTGACTAAATCGATTATTTACACGTATCTGGAAGTCCATGCAACTGGTCTGAAAGCAAACTGCCACTTACACCTAGATACCTATAATTGACCTGTGTTCTATGGAAAGAGAAAGGACCAATGGGACTTCGCCCATTTAAAAGATGAGTATAAAATTAAGTCAAGATTTATAACATTCTAGATCCTCCCCCCACGAAGTAATGCCTAACGGCGGTTTCCGTGGGGACCAGCGGCAAGGGCAAGGGTATTAAGTCCGAAATACCCAGACAAAAGACCAGTCTGGGATGCATAGAGGCATTTCCTTCGCTATACAAAAAAAACCTAGATACCTATAATTTTTGTAAGTAAAAGCCCGGGCACACGACGCCAGTATTTCTTGTAACATGTTTTTTGTTAAGTTTTATCGAAAGGTGAGCATGTTCAAAGAAACTATTTTAATTTTACGTTTTATACGCTCACCTTACGAGAAAAGCTTGACAGAAAATACGTTACAAGATATACTGACATTGTGTGCATCAGACTTAAGTCAATTAAATTAATTGATCAACACTTAATTCTACTAATTTATGCAGATAGGTCAATTAAATTAATTGATCAAGAATAATTAAAATTCATAAGAACACAAAATTTATTTTTAGCGATCTAAACGCTTTACATTACATTTACATTACATTTCTCTATCTTTGATCTCGTTTCAATTTTTAAATAAGGATTTTTTTATTAATATGTTGTCAACAGTAATTGCCAAATATGTTATTGGAAACCTACCTGAGAGTATCTGGCTTCGTTCACTGGCACATAATCACCTGCAGTGTCTCCTTTGGGTAGATCAACACTATGATCTGAAGATTCACCACCAGAATCAGTATCCGACCTTCAAAATAAAGAATATAAAGAATATAAGAAATTAATAAGTTAGTCCAGTAATAAAGTTTAATTACTGCTGATATGCTTATAAGCCTATATTACATATTGTCATGTTAAATGGGATATTTCACTCGATGATGCATCTAACAATCAGTCACAAATGATACAAGAGCTATTTTCCATCTTGATAATTAGACGTAACAGAATGGCATTTTTATTTATATTTATATTAGTATGAACCTACATTCTGTCTGTTTCCCTGATGGCTCTGGCAAATCTAGCCTGATCAGGATCTAAAATTCTTGGTTCTCTTGCCAATTCATCTCTCAGCTGTGTCGGAGTCTTCGGTAACCAGCCTCTGTACAAATCCTAGACAAGTATAAAACAAAAATAAAAAATCTTCAAAAATATACGAGGTGTGTTCAAAAAGTACCCGGAATTACTAATAATTAAATTTCGCGGGTCTGGAGTGTCTGATTGTCAAAAATTTTTTTTTATTGTGTTGGTATACATGCCCCTAAAGTATGATGAAATTTTCAGCTATATTCACTGTTTACTTTGTCTGTGGTAGTCGCTAAGGTTCGACGTGTTTTTCTGAGCTCGGCGATTTTTACAATGGAAGAATTGAAAAGTCAAAGAATTTGTATTAAATTTTGCGTAAAAAATGAAATAAAGTGTTGCAAAGTGCAAAAATTCACCAGATATGGCTCCGTGTGACTTTTTCCTATTCCCAAAGTTGAAGAGACCCATGAAAGGACGGCGGTTTTCCTCGATTGAAGAAAATCGCTGAGAGTGCTCAAGGACATATCAAAAAGTGAATATCAAGGGTGCTTCGAAAATTGGAAAAAACGCTGGCATAAGTGTATTATATCTGGGGGGGGACTACTTTGAAGGGGACCACATTAATGTAGACGAATAAATAAATATTTTTTTGAAAAAACGAAAATTCCGGGTACTTTTTGAACAGACCTCGTATAAACACATTGATAAATAAATATATAAAATACAAATGAAATGAAATGGAAAAAGAAACTTACAAATTATACAATCGTCAACGATCTCAAAATAGAATTATTATTTACATGTGAACTATTTATTTAAAAAAAAATACAAATAATTAAAATATTTACACTCAATTAGGTAAAACAAAGAATATAATAACCTGCAATGCAGCAATTTGTTCGATTCCTCGCAAAGTCTTAAGCACGGACACTTTATGCTGATGTTTTGGATCTGGTGGAGGCATCGCATAATTTTCAACCTAAAAATTAAAAAAATCATATAATTATAGTACATAAATTAATATTTAGTATGAATTATAATATTACATTAATCATAATATGATAGAATTTTTATTTTTTATGGAATTTTTTCAATTTATTTAAAAATATACCAGATGTATACTGGTTCACGCTTCGTCGTGCTCTACTTTCAATTAAAAATTTGAACTTAAATGCATATTTGTTACATCTAGTCTACCATTTGTCTGGTCTACTTGTCTATATGATTATCTGTCTATCTCTCTACCTGTCTACCAGTTTATCGGTGAACCAATTTAAAGGTCCACCAATTTACCTGTCAAACTGTTTATCAGTATACCAATTCAGTTGTCTACTAGTTTATCTGTCCACCAGCTTACCTCTCCCCCAGTTTACCTGTATAAAAATATACTTGTCATGTTTATCAGTCTACCAATTTAGCTGTCTACCGTTTCATCTGTTCAACAATTTACCTGTCCGTCAATTTACCTGCCTATCAATTTAACTGTTCAACTATTTTACCTGTCCACCAACTTACCAGTCCATCAATTTACGTGTCTATTTCTCTATCAGCCCACCCATTTATCAGTGGACCAATTTACTAGTACACCAATTTACCTGTTAACATATTTATCAGTATACCAATTTAGCTGTCTACTAGTTTATCTGTCCACTAGCCTACCTGTCCAACAATTTACCTGTATACCAATATATCTGTCAATATGTTTATCAGTCTACCAATTTAGCTGTCTACTGTTTCATCTGTTCAACAATTTACCTGTCCACAAATTTACCTGCCCATCAATTTACGTGTCTATCTCTCTACCTATCTAACAGTTTATCAGTGAAGTTGCTCTCTACTAGTTTACCTATCCACTAGCCTACCTGCCCAACAATTTTTCTATATACCAATATATCTGTCAACCTGTTTATCAGTCTACTAATTTAGCTATCTACCGTTTCACCTGTTCAACAATTTACCTGTCCACCAATTTACCTGTCTCTCAATTTATCTGTTCAACAATTCACCTGTCTACCAACTTACCTGTCCATCAATTTACATGTCTATGTACTTATCTGTCTACCAGTTTATCAGTGAACCATTTTCTAGTCCACCAATTTACCTGTCAATCTGATCATCAGTATACCAATTTAGCTGTCTACTAGTTTATCTGTCCACCAGCCTACCTGTCCAACAATTTACCTGCATACCAATATATCTGTCAACCATAGCTGTCACCTGTTTATCAGTCTACCAATTTAGCTATCTATCGTTTCACATGTTCAACAATTTATCTGTCCACCAATTACCTATCACCTGTTTATCAATCCACGATTTTACCTGTCAACTAATTTACTTGATGTCTACCAATTAACCAGTCAACCTGTTATATCTACCAGTTGTCCTTCTACTATCTTACATATCCTCCAATTTACCTGCCTACATGCATATTTCATTTGTCTACAACTTACCTCAAAATTACTTCGAATGCCTCGGATCACTTGTCCTTTGACTTGCATTCTGAAAAAATAATGAAATTAATGACTTACTTTCTATGAACCTTCGATATTTATTTTAGATTCGATTCATGTGGAAAATCAGTTTCAGATTATTGTAAATTTAATGGTTTTGTTTTTAAGGTCCACGCAAAAATCCCACTTGCTAATTTTATGTTTTCACGTTTCAAGTCATTCTGTATCTCTAATGAGACCAAGTTTGGAAATAATATGTGTATGTAAACCGATTTTTTACCTTTGTTTTCACGTTTCAAGTCATTCTGTATCAAAAAGCAATTTGATATAACTAGGTAAGGTCAAACCTTGGTTAGGTTTGCGACAAGATCGGCCAATCGGCCTTTGTAATTAGCAGAAAAGTACAAAAAAATTGTCTACGTTTTGGCAAAAATCCTGAACAGATTTTCACGAATTTTCAGAAACTATTCAAAGATATCGGTTGGAAATCGCGTTTATTAGTTTTTGGTAAAGATGGTCGCATCGTTCATTCGTAACCCAGTAAACCACAAAAGTTGAAATAACGTAGCACTGCAGAAACATCGTTACGTTATTTATGGTTACGTTAATAAAACGTTAATATTACGTTTAGTTGTAACCTTAAATCGGCTTGAACGTTAACGATTCGTTTTTGTTTATTACGTAACAGTTACGTTACACTGTTTCTTAAATTTAACATACAAAATGGACGGTGCGGTACAGCCATAGATAAAGAAGAGTGTTTCACAAAACTGTCAAAAAGATAGTTCTACTCTTTTATCTATGCGTGACTCTATGCACGTAATCACAACTGTAAGTTTTTGTAAGATTCTGATAAAACTTTGTATAACGATAGATTTCGTAGTCTGAAATATCATATTAAAATATTATAGGCCTACTATAAGAGGTTGAATTTTAAAAATTCACCAAAGTTAAATATGTCGCCACATGCTTGACCGGTTATAATCAGAATCTATGCCGAAGCATCTGTACATTTTTACAACTTGTTTACTTGGAAATTTCTATCAAAAATATTACATATTATTCTTAGCAATGATTATTTTAAAATTTACCATATATCATAAGAGCAAAATATAACCACAGCGTTATCTAACTAGTTTAATAGTTCTAATTTTTAAGTGACATCAAAGACACCTACATATTTAATTTCTAATTTGGAAACGTAACTATAACGAAACCGTTACTTTGTCGCGCAATTTGGAAATGTAACTATGACGAAACGTACTGCTACGTAACTTGTCGCTTTACGTAACAGGCCGTTTCGTTTTTGAGGCGGAAATAGAGATGTCTGTGTACCTTCTATGTTACGTGACCGCTATGTTTTGATGTAATATCTGTTACGTAACATTAACGATTTAATTACATTTTGTAGTTTACTGGGTTATATACATTTATTCAACCAAATCTAAACAGCCATTGCAAAGTTTGTAATAAAAAATCCTTTATCCCTTGTTACCTATTATAACCGTTACTTTGTCGAGCAATTTGGAAATGTAACTATGACGAAACGTATCTGTTACGTAACATTAACGTTTTAATTACATTTTGTAGTTTACTGGGTTATATACATTTATTCAACCCAATCTAAATAGCTATCGCAAAGTTTGTAATAAAAAATCCTTTATCCCTTGTTACCTATTATAAGTGGTGTCAATAATCCATTTGGTGACCAGATCTTGTGCAGCAATCTGTGCCTCCAAATATTGACGAGTCTGCTCCCTTTGCTCTTTCGCCATACGAATTTTGGCATCTGCAGTATCCGTGTCCAAGTTGAAGGCCTGAGAGAAAGGAGCATAATTATACATTTTCTCAAAGAGAGTAAGAGCACCAATTTATTTGGAGCAGTCTATTCATTTCCATAATGAATCTTCAATATTTTTGAAGTAGAAATACCTAGCCGGTGAATATTAATTTAAATTTAAGTTTGTTTCGTTCTACAAGAGTGATAAAAGATATTGTGTATAATAGGTTGGTCATTAATATGGATATTTTCGAATTTTATTGCTTCCAATGGCTCAATTGCTTCTAAAATAATAAAATACTTCTTTGAAAGTTATAGCTCTTAATATCAACTTTAAGATAGTCCGCACACCAACCAAAGTTTCTTATGGAAATAACATGGGCAAAATTGCGTTTATAATTTAGGATTTTATAACTTGAATAAAAAATATGAGATTAAAACTTCATTTGCTTGTTTTGAACATGAATAAAAAATTCAGAACAAAGATTTGATAAATTTCATAAAATAAGTATTTTCTTATGAAGAAGTACTAAGAAACTTCGGTTGGAGTGCGGACTGTCTTAAAGTTATTATTGACAGCTAAAACTTTCAGAAAATTTTGAAGTAAAACTTCTTTAAGCGCGACTATAGAGTAAATCTGTGCAAATGCAACGGAAAAGCGATACGAATGCCAATGATTCGTCATTCGCTTTCGATAAGATCATTTCTATACAGGTCGATTGTGATTGGTCGTCGTGTCGCGTGAGTATGATTGCTTTGATTGTATAGTGGAAATAATAAAACAAATAAAAAATCTGACGTGTAAGAAACGTAAGTTTATTGAAGTAATTTGTATTATTCGTCGCGTGGTCATTAAAATAAAAATTATTTTTATAGGCAAGACTGTTATTATAGTTCCTCAAAGAATGAGACTGTATCGCCAGCAAAAAAGTAAAAAAAAACAAGCAGTCAATGAATGTATGTTAGTTTTAATTACATGAAGTTCTTCAAACACAATTACATGATAAGTAAAATTGTGAAAACAATATTTCGTTAGGCGTTGTTTAACATAATAATTCTCTGCATTTTTATAGATATGAAAAATATCAAAGCACCATAGCTTTATTCTATCATGCCAAAGATATATCTTTTTCAGAATTATGTCTCAGACACTTTTGGAAGTTTAGAGAAAGTCTACATGTTTTTCGATCATGATGGCTATTACAACGTATTACAAAGTTGCATATTTTTATAAATAATAAAGAATAAATCGATATTCAGATTTATTACTCCAAACAAGAGATCAAGCACAACAATAGTGTAGCTGTGTATCATTTATATACAGATATACTTCATAATGGACATCTATGCAGTTTATTTATTAGTAGTGTTAATGAAATTTATTCAAGATTGTTATAAGTTCAGTGTGTGAACGAATATTATAGAATTTATTAATCAGCAATTACTTCATTTTGCTAATAAAGATTCAAGTAGTAAATGCTAATTACAATAACAAACCGATCATGTCTGAAGTGTGACTTTAATTACATTATTATTTTCAAACATTATAAATGTTTTTAATGGTATTGTAAATATATAATTTATAACGTTTACTATATAAATATGTATACCATATTAGTGTTACCATATTACTAATAAACATTATTCAAAATTGCTATATGATGTATTTATTTTACTTAAATGCCATCTTGTACAATGGCAAAAAAGTTTTACTTCAATCACGTGTGAACTTTACGCGCACTTTTTTTAAATTATATATTTTTGTGAAACATATTTGTGCTTTAATTAAACTTTCTTAAGATCTCATATAATTTTATACGCGTATATATTGTTTTTATTTCATTTATTCAAGTTAATCACGTTTATCTATTCTATATTTTATATTTATATAAATCTTATCAAGAATTAAAACTGCCATTAGTGGGGCCCCTATGGAGTGCGAAAACAATTAAAATATAAGTAATGGCAAAGTGGCCGTGCTTTTAAATCATTTTAAAAAAAGTTAAAAATTTTCAAAATATAAAAAATATTTCAAATTTTTTGAAAAATTGAAATTTTTAAACAAATTTCTAAATTCGCAAAAATATATTTTATTCAAAGTTTTCAAAAAAAATTAAAGCTTTATTAAAAATTTTGATTTTCGGTACGGAAAGTTTCAGCAATTTGCCCCAAAGCACAATGCCATGCACCACTAGTTTTTGAAATGAAAATTTTTGCATTTTGAAGGTTTCTGAACATTTGGGCATACCTCAGAAAAAATGGATGTGTGTGTGTGTGTTTTGTATGTCCGCATTTTTTCGTCCACGTTTTCGGGCGTACGGCTCAACCCATTTGAATGGTTTAAAAAACATTCGATTCCTATTAATAGGGAGATGTGCTGATTAGTTTTTGGCAAAGGCAGGTCCAGCCGTTACGGAGATATGGAGCAAAGAGTGCAGAAAATAGAAATCGAGTTTTTGAGAGAACGGATCTTCCGATTTGTATAATCCAAAAAACATTCAATTCGTAATGACGGAGAAAAATGGTCATTAGTTTTTGGCAAGGTAGGCCCAGCGTTTTCGGAGATACAGAGCTAAATGTTAAAAAATGGCAGTTTTTGAGAGAACTAAGCGTCCGATTTAAATGATTCAAAGAACTTTCTGCTTGTTTCAACAAAATAATTGCTTTTGGAAAAAAAACTTTTTGTTTCTAATTTTTTTTTTCAAAAAATATTTTTGTAATTATGGATTGAAAATTCAGAAAATTACCCAGGCTAAACAGTCTAAGCGCCACTCGGGTGCAAGTTTTTATCCAAGTGCGTTTAGACTGTTTAATTACTGAAGCACTTTTCCAATTTTGTGAAAACTATTAAAAAATGTGAAAATGCCGCCAAGCTAAGCACAATATAAGTGAAAATGCCGCACAGAATTATTTGCAAATGCGTTTAGACTGTTACGGGAGCACTTTTTGAATTTTGTGTAAATTAGGCAACTTTTTTTTTGAAATTGAATTCGAAATGAAATGGCGATTGCTAATGTTCTGGAGATAAATTGATTTATTTATGATTTACATTTGATTTACTCAGATATAACAAGATAGCAAAAATAATGAAAGTTACAGTATTTGTAATAATATATTTGAAAACTTTTAAAATTTCTCGAATATTTTATTACGGTACGGTAAGTTCCAGCAATTTGCCTTAAGGCACGATGCCATAGCAAAAAAGTACACCGGGTACGCCATAGATAAATATAAACCGTGTCGTGTTGAAAATCGTCGCATATATTTGTCAATGTATACGCAGCTGCAAACCAAAATGTCAAATGTCTAGTACCTGTCAAATATTTATAATTTTGGCGGCTTGTCATACAAGCTTCTGTTATAAAACAAAATTACGTATTATTTATATAACACAGTATTAATATTACCAAGTTATAAAACAAATAACATTTATTTCGAAATTCGTAATATATTTAAATTTTTATAGAACATGTAAAACATTTGTAAAAGTAAAAATGAACCAAGAAATGAAAAATTGTGTAGTAGTGCTAACAAATTTTGTTGATGTAATTAATAAATCTAAACATGGTAAAATAACAAGAGGTGCTGTGGAAAGACTCAGTAAAGATGATATTGCTGATTTTGTTAGAGCATTAAGTAGTGGTAAATCGAAAAATGCTAAATCAAAGAAAGCTCAAGCAAAAAAAGTTGGATTGAAAAAAGCTCTAAAAAAAGGAACTCAATTAAAAGAATCTTCATCACAAGAAGTTCAATTTAAAGATGCTCAATCACAAGAAGTTCATTTAAAAGATGCTCAATCAGAAGAAGCCGAATCAAAATTTTTGAGTTAAAAGAGTTGAATCAAAAGAAGTTCATTGAGATCAAACGAGAAGTTCATTCAAAAGAAGATCAATCACGAGAAGCTGAATCACACAAAGTTGAATCAAAGAAGTTCATTCAGAAGAAGATCAATCACGAGAAGTGAATCACATGAAGTTGAATCAAAGAATTCATTCAGAAGAAGATCAATCACGAGAATCAAGAAGTTCATTCAGAAGAAGATCAATCACAGAAGGTGAATCACATGAAGTTCATTCAGAAGAAGATCAATCACGAGAAGCTCCAGCTGAATCACAAGAAGTTTCCCAAGAAATATATCCTGTTATTGACTTAGAAAATCAAAACAACGATGAAGATGCAGAGTTTGAAGTTTATCAGGATTTATTAAGCAATATGTGCCAAGTGGACATTGAAGATGGACACCCAGAAATAAACACTGAAGCCACAAAAGAAAACCCAAATAACATTTTCAAATGCACAAAATGCGAAAAAGCTTACACAAAAAAAAGCTCTTTGTTGAAACATTCTGCAAACCACGAAAAGAAAAGTTACAAATGTGAATTCTGCGAAAAGGTATTCATTCTTCCCAAGTCATTATACGATCACATAGAAAAACATAAAGAGAAAAAAGATTATCTTATAGATACCTCTAACTATCTTCATAAATGTAAAGTTTGTAATAAGTCTTTTAAATTCCTAGCTGGTTTAGGCACTCATTCTCGAATACACCAGCAAGGGTTCGAATGTAAAGTATGTGATGAAAAATTTGTAAAACATATACAACTGCAGAAGCATATGGAAACCCATGTCGGCCAGAAGTCATATCAATGTAAAATTTGTAAAAAAAATATTAAGCGAATGGAAACTCTTTTACATCATGTAAAATCACATGGATTGAAGCGATATAACTGTAAGATTTGTGAGAAAAAGTACGTTTATAAAAGGGATTTGGATTGTCACATGGACAATCATTTAAAAGGGATGACTTGTAGTATCTGTAATAAAGAACTTACTACTCATTATTTGTTGACAAAGCATATGCAGTGGCATCAACGGAAAGGACATAAAATGGTAAATGATAATTGTAAGTCAAATCGAATAGGATCAGGTTCATATAAATGTAAAAGGTGTCCTTACGAAACCTCCATAAGTTTAGATTTGTTTAAACATTTCCTAACATGCAACCCACAACCTGTGGTTCTTTTACAACGACTCCCTGATGTAAAACCTGATATCAAATGTTCA